GTTACGCCTCGGTGGTGGCTCCACGTGACGAGAGAATCGTTGTTCAAGATCGAGTTGCCGGTAGAAGACAAGAAGACGAGAACAATGGAGGTGGTGCAGGAGGTGTTGCAAGTATCCAAGAAGAAGATCCTTGAGCTGCCATTGCTGAAGGAGGACCAGGACAAGCGAGAGAAAGCGGTTCGTGGTCTGCACAAAGTGCGTTAACCAGTTCCAGATGTTGCTCGACGAGGCGGAGGAGTTCAGGTGAAGTAGTCGCCGGAGAAGTAGCCGACAGACGGCGGAAGCAGCCCCGAGGGTTGTTAAAGAGGCTAATCTGGCCGAGGTCCAGCGAGATGAGGGCGGCGCTACTGTTTGGAAACTCGTCTATGAGCAGATTGTCCTGGAATTCGATCTGGAAGAGCCTGGGCAAGCTGAGCAGATCATCGGGGATCGATCCATTCACCAGAGAAGTGCTACAGTAATCGCAGGGAAAACAACCACCGTTGGAAAAGTAACAATGGGAATCGCCTCCTACAATCCGACCGCAGGAGCAGGCTGTCGAAGCAGGTGGCCATAAGAAAACCACCGGCTTAGGTGGGAGAATAGAAGACACCGACGTAGGGAGGAGAAAGGGGCGGCCAGCAGCGAGTCACTATAGAGAAAAAGAGAGAGTGCCGCAGCAGCAACGATGGTTGCGAGATCAGAGTTGCATCGGCGACAGGTTGGTGCAGATCGATGCCCGTGCTTCTTTCACCCACTTGCCCTTCGATGTGTCGCATTGCTCTTCATTGCCATCAGCAGAGAATTGTGGGGAGTAAGAACTGTTGTGGGAAACAACTGTATGTCGTGGCCTCGGGGCCGACACGGTTTGGTTCGGGTCCGAATGCGCAGGGATCCGGCGTGGCGCTCATCGATATAGCTGGGGTGGCCTGTCACGGCGGTCCGGATGGGGCATGGCGTGGGGGTGAAGTCTTACCGCTTCTTCGGGGAGATGCGACCTCGCCTTCGTTCCTGCACACAGGTCGGGTCGGAGGCTCGGCCCGACCCCTCCGACGATCAAGTTAGCGATGTGGAGAGGGTTTTGGAGGAAGAGATGCCTCCGTGCCAGTGTTGGGTGTAAGTCTGTCCCCCCCTTTCCCTGCTTAGAACTCGGGAGTATTTATAGGGTAGTTTAGTGTTACCTGAGGGTCCTGCCTGTGGGAGGCAGGATCGTACCTCTGATGACGTCTGACATTGCTATTGACGTTGCGTGGGGAACCGACTCGCCGCAGGGTATGGGCGAGGGTCGGTCGTCGTCCTCCTCTACCTTCGTCCAACGCGCGGGGTCAAACAGCGATGAAGTCGTCGTTTGAGAGCGGATGATGTCAGGACGTGTCGAGTCATCATTATAGCTCTCTTCCTTGGGCAGAGTGGCTCCCAGCTGAGATCGACGTCGTGACACATCATGTCGCCATTATTACCCCTATCATATTCCCCCCCAGAAGAAGCTATGCATCGGTTTTGGCAATTGGGGGAGTCCGAGGCATGGCTTTGTCCCCTGGCGTTTGCGACAGTCTCAGGTGGCATGAGGTCGGGCTCGTCTTGAGCAGGGGAGTGGGAGTGTAAAACCGAGGGCGACGCAGGCGGGATGGCCGCGCCGGCGTGTCTCGGGAAGCATTGGGCCGAGGAGCACGGCATAGGCGGGCTGGCCGCGCAGGTGCGTTTTCGGGCATTACGCGACCGAGGAGGTGGCCTCGAGCATTATGCGGCCGAGGATGTGGCCTCGGGCGTTACGCGTCCGAGGAGGTGGCCTCGGGCATTATGCGGCCGAGGATGTGGCCTCGGGCGTAACGCGACCGAGGAGGTGGCCTCGGGCATTATGCGGCCGAGGATGTGGCCTCAGGCATTATGCGGCCGAGGATGTGGCCTCGAGCGTTATGCGACCGAGGAGGTGGCCTCGAGCATTGTGCGACCGAGGATGTGGCCTCGGGCGTTACGCGACCGAGGAGGTGGCCTCGGGCATTATGCAGCCGAGGATGTGGCCTCGAGCGTTATGCGACCGAGGAGGTGGCCTCGGGCATTGTGCGGCCGAGGATGTGGCCTCGGGCGTTACGCGACCGAGGAGGTGGCCTCGGGCATCATGCGGCCGAGGAATGACTTTGTTCTGGCCAGCGATTGATCGTTCAATCGTGCGCGGGCGCGGGCGGCCGGGTTGCTTTTTCCTGGGGAAGGTCAAGGGGCCGCCCCTTTTGGGAGTCGCCGGCTTTCGAGGCTGATATGATTAGCGCCTCCGTACTTTGCACCGCGCTGCAGTTAGCTGCCACGTCATGCTGCATTTATGGTGAAGTGATGTTTTCGTCTTCGCAGCGCACTTCGGGAGAGGAGGGGTTGCCGTTTTGGCGGGATGCGGCCTGTTTATAAGTAGCGTGGGGCAAGCCCCCTGATGGTCTCATCTATTCCTACTCCGCTGTTTCGGACTTCATTGTCTCGTTTGCGTCGATCGTTCTCCTCTTCTCACTAAAGGTCAGTAAGGATGGTGTCCTCTTCCTCCTCCTCTTCATCCTCTTTGGCTAGAGCCGGAAAAATGGTGGTTGTGTCGAATCCAAGTTCGTCATCCGACGAAGAAGCGGCCCGGGCCCTCGAAGCCCTGATGTGGCCACACGACCACGACTCAACTGTGAGCGAGTCGTTGCTTAGTCGCCTTCGGGTTCTCTATAGCGTCCCGGAGGAGTATGTTCTCCTGGCTCCTGAACCAGGCCAACGGTCATACAACCCAATTCCGAGGGGTTTCGCCCTCACCGTCGATGCTTTTGAGGCCAGGCTACGCCTCCCCCTGCACCCCCTCATAACCTCTTGTATTTCACGGTGGCACATCTCACCGTCTCAGATGGCGCCCAACTCCTAGCGCTACATCGTGGCATTCCTGAGGGAATGCCACTATGCTAATATCATCCCGACCCTGTCCCTCTTTCTTTCTTGCTTTCATCTTTCCAAAGGGTCGGGGGGCTATTATCTGTCCGCCCGAGCGGGCTTTCGAGTTAGCGAGGCTCCCTCCAGTAATAAGGGGTGGAAGGAGCGTTTCTTTTTCGTCAGCCGCTCAGAGGACTGGGGGTTCGGGGTCCGGTGGGTGGCGAGTATGATAGACAACGCTACCCCGGCTCTAGACGACGCGGAGCGCTGAGAGCTCCGGAGGCTTAAAGAAATCCTCCCATCCTCACAAGCTATCCGGAGTACGTCCGAGGGGTGGTTGGTCGAGGCGGGTCTTAGCCTGGTGCCTCAAGGTATGCCTTAAGGAGGGTAGTGGTTGGTCTTCATGTTTTTTGGCGTTCTGACTGAGTTCCGTTTCTTCGCAGAGATGGTGAACCTTAATGCCGTGCACGGGAGGAAGTCTTCATCGGCCGCATCGTCCCGTTCGCCGGCCGCGGCGAGGGTTGGCTCGAGGGAGACCCCGGTGGACGTCGAGGCCGGTCTCCCCCGGAAGAGGGCCAGGGTTTCCTCGGGAGAAGCCTCTGAAGAGATCGTGGTCCAAACGACGGAGGCCGTTACTGCGCCGGCGGGCCACGCCGGGGGAAGCTCTGAGGCAGGCACCAGCAGGGATGCCGCGGTGGAGGCTCCTCGAGGGCCCTCCGTCCGTGACCTTTGTCGTCTGCCGACCGGGGGGGAGGATGAACCCTACCAGATGCGGGTGGTGGGCAGTCTCCCGCGAGGCGAGGCCTCCGATCCACTGGTGGCCCGCTGGTAGGGCCTCACCCGAGGCAGGCGGGTGTGGGCCGAAGGGGATTCTGTCGCTAAGTTCGTCCGCGGGGGGCTTCATCCCGACATAGCTCGGGACTTGTATATGTTGTCCTCCGAGGCCCTCCTCGGTAAGTTCGCGAAGTCGCTGCTATGGGTGAGCGTTATCCTGCCCTTTTATTTACGCATGCCCGGACAGTTTTTTGACTCGTTTGTCTGCAGGGTAATCATTATGCCGCGGCGCTGATGGACCGTGTTCGCGATGCGGGGCGAGTCATCGCCGCCCTGAGTAGCCGAAACGCCGAGCTCCGGAAGCAGGTGGACGAGCTCCGCGCCGGGGGGGGGGGGGTCTTGAGGCGGTCGCGACAGCCGTGGATTCGGATGCGAAGGCAGTGCGCCTTCGTTCCGAGCTTCAAGCGTCCGAGGCGCGAAGCTCAGAGCTCCAGACGCACCTGAAGGCAGCTATGGCCGAATCTCGCTCTGTGAGGGCGGACTCGCTGGAGTTGATCCGCCGTCTAGAAGAGGCGCGCGCGGAGGCGCGGGAGGCTTCCGCGGCCCTTGACGCCGAGGCCCGTCAGCGGCCGGCAAAGGACAAGAAATTGATCGAGGACTACAAAGGTTCCTCGGGCTTTCAACTTGGCCTTGTTCGGACTGGGCGGGTCTCATATGAATACTGGTACCGGATTGCCCTTGCCCGCTTTAAGGGGCGTTATCCTGACCTGGAGGTCGCGGAAGACCCCTTCGACTCTTTTCCTGAGGACATGGGTGTCGACATGCCGGAAGAGGTGCCTTTTGACGACAGCCCCGATGCTCCTGAATAAGTGTTGTTTGCGTTTGTACTTTTTCTTTTTGTTGGAAGTTTTGTCATGTAATGGGTTTCTTGAATGAACGCAGTTTTCCTTCGTTTCTCCAATTTGTCTGCTCGCGTCTTCTGATGTTGTGATACAATTCTGTCTCTTAGTCAAGTCTCCGCTTACGGAAAGAACTTTTTGAGGTTTTACGCGTTCCAAGTTCTTGGCAAGGGGCAGCCCATCATCGTCGCGAGTCGAAATGTACCTACCCTGACAACTTCGGTCACTCGATAAGGGCCTTCCCAATTGGGAGCCAACTTGCCGCGCGCCCGGGTCGGATCGCTAATCTCGGTCCTCCGTAGGATTAGGTCGCCTAGTTTGATGGGTCGGGGTCGTACCTTTCGGTTGTAGATCCTTGCGACGACCCTTTTATAAGAGAGGGCCTTTATGTATGCGTCAGCGCGTTGCTCCTCGAGCAGGTCGAGGCTGGCTCGAAGTCCTTCGTTCGAGACCTTCTCGTTATAGCCTCCTGTCCGAAAGGTGGCAAGGGCTACTTCGGGCGGTAGGACAGTTTCGGTTCCGAACGCGAGGCTGTAAGGGGACTCTCCGGTCGCGGTCTTGGGAGTGGTGCGCAGCGACCATAAGACGCTCGGGAGTTCGTCCGTCTAAGCCGATCGGGCCGCGGACACCCTTCTTTTGAGCCCGTCTAGGATGGACCGATTGGTTACCTCTGCCAGCCCGTTTGTCTGACGGGTAGGCCACCGAGCTGAACCGTAGCTGGATGCCGTGGTTGGCGCAGAACTCCCGGAACCTTTTACCGGCGAACTGAGGCCCATTGTCGGTAATGATGGTTTTGGGCAATCCAAACCGAGTCACCAGGTTCCTCCATACGAATTTTTCTATTTGCCACTCCGTGATCGTCGCCAGTGGTTCTGCCTCGACCCACTTTGTGAAATAATCCACGCCCACGACGATTATTTTCGCTGCCCCGAGGCCGGGGGGAAAGGGTCGAGGAGGTCCAAACCCCATTGCATGAACGGCCATGCGCAGTCGATGGGGGTGAGCGGGACCGCGGGCTGTTGGGGTATGCGGGCGTGTTCTTGACACGAGCTGCACCGTTGCGCGTGGGTCTTCGCATCCCGGCGCATGGTCGGCCAGTAGTAGCCTTGGCGAAGTATTTTGTGTGCCAGGGTCCGCCCGCCAACGTGTTCCCCGCAGATCCCCTCATGGACCTCGGCTAGGACTGTCTGAGTTTCGTCGGGTTCCAAGCATCATAGGAGGGGGTATGAGAAAGACCGCTTGTAGAGCCGTCCGCCCACCTCGGTATACCACGCATGCATGTGACGCAGGCGCCGAGCCGACGCTTCATCGGGTGGAAGAGTTCCGTCTCGTTTGAAGCGCAGCAATTGTTGTATCTAGGAGGTAGGCGTGTCACCCGAGGTCGCCGCTATGATTTCGATGGTGCGGGCAGGTAGCTCCTCGATATCGGGCCGGACTTCGGAGGCTGGCTTCGATGCCAGTTTAGCTAGCGGGTCGGCATGCTCGTTTTCTCCCCTCGGGATGTTAGATAACGTAAAATGAGGGAACTTGGCTGCTAGGTTCTTTACTTGTGCCAGGTACTTCGCCATGGTCGGGTCACGAGCCTCATATCCTCCGCCGAGTTGCTCGGCTACTAGCTGAGAGTCAGTGAGGATGCGGATGCCGATCACCTGCATCTCGAGGGCCAGCCTAAGTCCTGATAGGAGCGCCTCGTATTCCGCCTCAATGTTGGTAGCCTGGAACCTGAAGCAGAGGGAACGCTCGAACGTCCGCCCGTCGGGAGCTTACAGCACCAGTCCCGCGCCGGCGCCCTTTAAGTTGGCCGATCCGTCGACGTGCAGGACCCAGGCCTCGGGAAGTTGTTGGAGACCTTCGTCCTCGATCTGAGTTAGTTCTGCGATGAAGTCGACCACGGACTAGGCCTTGATGTCAGCCCTGGGCGCGTATTGTATGTCATGCTCGCCGAGCTCCACCGCCCATTTGAGAAGACGTCCTGCAACATCAAATTTGGATAGAATTTGTCGAAGCGGTTGGTCAGTTACGACCTCCACCGGATGAGCCTGGAAGTATGGACGTAGCTTCCGTGGGGATAGCACGAGCGCAAGCGCCAGCTTCTCGATTGGTGGGTATCGTTCCTTGGGCCCGTTCAGGACGTGACTGACATAGTAGACTGGAAGCTGCTCGCCAGAATTTTCCTTGACCAGGACGGAGCTGACTGCGCGCTGGGAGGCGGCTAGGTAGATGCTTAGCTTATCCCCTAGAGAGACTGCTGCGAGTCGGGGAAGGTTGGCCAAGTGTCGCTTCACTTGGTTGAGGGCTTCCTCGCATTCCCCCGTCCACTGGAAATTTTTCAGATTCTTCAATGCTCTGAAGAAGGGGAGGCAACGATCACCTGATCGGGCAAGGAAACGGGACATAGCGACAAGCCTCCCGTTAAGGAGTTGTAGGTCTTTGATCGTCCGAGGCGACTGCATATTGATTATCGCCTGGACTTTCTCCGGGTTGGCGTCGATTCCTCTTTCGTGTATGATGAATCCGAGGAACTTTCCCGATGTAACGTCGAAGGTGCACTTCGCGGGGTTGAGCCTCATGCCATATCCGCGCAGCGTGGCGAACGCCTCGACCAGATCGGTCAGGTGGGCCCCCGCTTCTTGGCTTTTGACGATCATGTCGTCGACGTAGACTTCCATGTTCCACCCGATCTGGTGGACGAACATCTTGGTTACTGTTCTCTGGTATGTAGCCCTGGCGTTCTTTAATCCGAAGGGCATGACCTTGTAGAAGTAGGCCCCTCGATCAGTGAGGAAGGCCGCGTGCTCTTGGTCTTCGGGTGCCATTTTGATCTGATTGTATCCCGAGAAGGCGTCCATAAATGAGAGGCGGGCGTGTCTTGCCGTGGCGTTGACCAACTAGTCAACTTTTATAAGGGGGTAGCAATCCTTCGGGCACGCATTGTTGAGGCAGGTGTAATCAACGCACATCCTCCAGCTTCCATTAGCTTTCTTGACGAGGACTACATTGGATAGCCATTGTGGGTATCTGGCCTCTTCTATGAAGTACGCCGCCAGAAGTCGGCCCACTTCTTCCCGTATGGCCAGCTGCCGATCGGGGGCCTGCCGTCTAGGTTTTTGTTTTACCGGGCGGGCGTCGGGTGAAATATTGAGGTGGTGCTGCGCTACCCCCGGGTCGACTCCCGTCATTTCAGAAGTGACCAAGCGAAGACGTCGGCATTCTTCTGTAGGAGGCCAACGAGCTGTCTTCGTTTTTGCTCGGGTAGCTCCGACCCGATCATGACCGTCTGCTCCGGCCGACCTTCTTGCAGCGGCATGTCCATAGTGGACCCCCTCGGCTCGGGATGGGAGGTTGGCTTCTTCGCCTCTCGGGGGTCTGCCAACGGTGGTTCGACCCTGGCCCTCTTGTGTAGCGAGACGACGGTCAAGTAGCAGCGCCTGGATTCTCCGGGACTTCCTACGACCTCTCCTGTTCCGGCGTGGGTCGGGAACTTCACGGTTTGGTAGTAGGCCGAGACGACAGCTCTGATTTTGTTGAGGGTCGGTCGGCCGAGGATGGCGTTATATGCAGCGGGGAGGTAGATCACTAGGAAGGTGGTCATCACCGTCTTTGACTTCGACGGTGCTCCCAGGGTCAATGGTAAAGTGATCGCCCCCAGTGGTGAGATTGAATCACCGGTGAATCCGGTGAGTGCCGAGAGGAGTGGCTTCATGCTATCTCTAGGCAAGCCGAGCTTTTGGAAGGCGTCGAAGTAGAGTATGTCGGTCGAGCTCCCGGTATCGACCATGATCCTCCTTACTTGCGCATTGGCTATTCTGGCTGATATCATGAGCGCGTCGTCGTGCTCGGCTTGTTGGGGCACCTCGGCCGGGAAGGTGTCGTTGGGTTCAGGCCCATGCCCGGGAGCTTCGGCCGGAGCGGCTCTGACGTACGCCTTTCTTCCGGTCATGGAATCCCAGCCAGATGCGGGACCGCCCGTTATTACGTCGATGTGTCGTTCGATGGGACCCTCCGGGCGCGGTGAAAGTTCTTTGTCCGGTCGGAGGTACTGACCGAGGTGTCCCCTACGAATGAGCTCCTCGATCTGCCTCTTTAGCTCCCGACACTGTTCGGTGTCGTGCCCATGTTGCCTGTGGAAGCGGCAGTACTTTGACTGGTCCGCCAGCGCCCGCGGATTCCTCATCGGGTAAGGCTCTTTGAGCAGTCCCTTTTCCCTTATGTGGAGGAATATTTCCGTTCGGAACGAGTTCAAGGCCGGGAGAGGGGGCCTCGATGTTGGCGGGTTGGATCTGTCCAACCTGTGCCGAGACGCAGCGGGTTGCTGCTGCCGGGGCGGCTCTGCCTTGACCCTCTTGTGCTCTTCGTGCTTCCCGGCCATCCATGTCTCCGCGGCAACGAACTGGCTCGCCCCCTGGAGCATCTCGGGCACCGTCGTGGGGGGCCGCTCCACCAGAGACCAGAAGAACCTGGAGGGCCGCAAGCTTATCATAAACGTCTTCATCAATAGGGAAGGGTGAGCGTCTGAGAGTCCTCGGATCTGCGTCGTAAAACGGTTTACGAAGTAGGAGAGGGGCTCGTCCTCCCTTTGGTGGAGCCCGAGGAGCAACGCCACGGACGGCTTCGGACGGGCGTAGGCCAAGAAGTTGAGCTCGAAGTCTCTGGCGAGCTGGTCGAAGGAAGAGATGGTTCTTGTCTTCAGGCCACTGTACCATGTGCGGGCTGGTCCCCTTAGGGTCGTTGGGAACGCCCTGCACATCAAGGTGTCAGAGGTCCCGTACAGCGCCATTTGAGCGCGAAACGCGACCACGTGATCCGCGGGGTCAGCGGCGCTGTCATAGGCGTCGAGCGATGGGAGCCGGAAGTGTGGTGGAATCACTTGATCCTGTATTTCGGGTGGGAACGATGATCCTTGGTATCCGTCTGCCCCGAGCTCCTCCTTTGACCTGCGAACCTCCTGCTGTACTTCGTCGAGGCGTCGATTGAAGAGGCGCAATTGGGCTCGCAGGGCGTTCGTCGAGTCCGCGGGCGGTACCTCAGGCTCTGGGCGGCTCGACATGTCTTTCGCCTCTCGGTCTACGAGCTGGGTCGTTCGGTTTCGAGGCGAGACTGGGGGCTCGGGGAGCGGCACACGCGTCCGGACTTAGGGCTCACGCTGTTGCAAAGGCTGGGTTACCTGCGGGGGCGTCGGCTGGGAGATGAGCGGGATGATAGTCTGCATCGCGCCCGCCAGCGCTCGGACTTGGTGAGCAAGATCGTGGAAGGCTTCGGGCGAAACGGGTGAGGGGCCAACGGGGAGGTCGGGTCATTGAACAACCGCCAATAGCGCTCCGATGTCATGGAAGGGCGCTCATCATGGGTTCCGTCCCGGAGGGGATGTTCTTCTGGGGTGTTGACCGGGAGCGACCCCATGGCTTCGGGTTCGCCAGAGTGGATCTGCTGATTGTTTGACATTCGGGCCCTTCCTCTAGCGCCAAAATGTTGTGGGAAACAACTGTATGTCATGGCCTCGGGGCCGACACGGCTTGGTTCAGGTCCGAATGCGCGAGGATTCGGCGTGGCGCTCCTCGGTATAGCCGGGGTGGCCTGTCACAGCGGTCCGGATGGGGCGTGGCGCGGGGGTGAAGTCTTACCGCTTCTTCGGGGAGAGCGACCTCGCCTTCGTTCCTGCACACAGGTCGGGTCGGAGGCTCGGCCCGACCCCTCCGACGATCAAGTTAGCGATGTGGAGAGGGTTTTGGAGGAAGAGATGCCTCCGTGCCAGTGTTGGGTGTGAGTCTGTCCCCCCCTTTCCCTGCTTAGAACTCGGGAGTATTTATACGGTAGTTTAGTGTTACCTGAGGGTCCTGCCTGTGGGAGGCAGGATCGTACCTCTGATGGCGTCTGGCATTGCTATTGACGTTGCGTGGGGAACCGACTCGCCGCAGGGTATGGGCAAGGGTCGGTTGTCGTCCTACTCTGCCTTCGTCCAGCGCACGGGGTCAGACAACGATGAAGTCGTCGTCTGAGAGCGGATGACGTCAGGACGTGTCGAGTCATCATTATAGCTCTCTTCCTTGGGTAGAGTGGCTCCCAGGTGAGATCAACGTCGTGACACATCATGTCGTCATTATTACCCCTATCAAGAACTGTTATGCACTAGCGTCACACCGCTGGGAGAGAATGGCTTTGGGTGAGAACAGCTCTAATATCATGTTTAGTACGAAGTGAAAGAATTTTTCTCAATATTTACTCGGAGAAATCTTAGTCTCTCATACATCTCAAACATGAACCGTACATCTCGAATATGGACGAACAAATTTAATATAAAAATATAAAAATATAAAAATAAAAAAGTATTTATTTTTATGATATTTTTTATTATTTCTTTTCTTTTTCTTTTTCTTTTTTTTGAATAGATGCTGTTATGTGACAACTTGTCACACATATAAAACACCTAAACTAATTAAAAAAGAAATTGGGTCTGCAAATCGTTGACTATGTCAACGTGTGCATGGTCAACGGGCTGAGGCCACGGAATCCAACAAGTTATGTAAACGCTTATCATTGACACTCCACGCAAGACATAAAAGGACACGAGATCTCCGAACGAAGCAAACGCAAGCGATGTCACAGTGTGCAGTCGCAGTCTACTTGGTGAACTCCATGACCCAGGTGTTGGCAAAGATGTAGCTCGCTTTGAATCCGGAGAAGCCTGCCTCCTTGGCCAACCCCTCGAACTCCTTCTCCGTCCTCTCTTTCCCTCCCGGGTTGTGCGCCAGCATGATGAGGTCGATGTTGAAGACGCCCTGAGCTCGGGGAGTCGGTTCCGGCACCACGGGCAGGACGCACTCCACCACTATCACCTTCCCCTTCTCCGGCAGCGCCTCGCAGCAGTTCTTCAGGATCTTGGTGCAGTGCTCGTCGCTCCAGTCATGGAGAATCCACTGCATTTATCAGTGTCAGTCTCAGATGGATTGCATCGAAGGAAACATGCACTCTCTGACCTTCATGAAGATTGCATCTCCCCTTGGGACGCTCGCGAACATGTCTCCGCCGATGTGTTCCACCCCTACAAGACACCATGCCGAGAGAATGAGAGGTGAGACGTGTCAGGTTGCGGCGGCGCAGAACAGAGGAGGAGTTGATGGGGGGACCTGGGAAGGGTGGCGCCTCGGAGATGACGTGAGGGAGGTCGAAGTTGATGCCCCTGATGCGGGGGTGCTTGGTGGTAATCATGTAGAGGGTGGCGCCGATGCCGCCGCCGACGTCCACGAGCACCTTGACGCCCTCGAAGCCGCGGTAGATGTCGAGCAGCTTCTTGGTGAGGATGGTAGAGTGATTCCTCATGCCCTCGTTGAACACCTTGTTGAACCGGGCGTCCGCGCCGTAGTACTCAAACGCCGACATCCCGTACGCCTTGTTGAAGGGGATGCCGCCGTCCAACACCGCGTCCTTCAAGTAGTACCAGCTCTCCATGAGGACCTTGTCCTGGTTCATCAGGGTCAGAGCAGCCATGGACACCCCGTCCTCGTTCTTGGTCAGGTACTTGCACGCCGGCGCGGCGCCGTACTTCCTCGATGGCTTCCCGTCGGCGTCGGTGCCGACGGTGCAGCTGACGACGTTGTAGGCGGCCAGCAGGCGGAGCATCCGGTCCACCATCACGGCAGCCTGAGGGTTCTCGGTGGGAAGCTGGGCCACCACGTCGGCGGGGCTCAGCTGGGCGCCCGGGCCGGCCCTGACGAGGATCTCGAGCAGGTCCAGCTCGATGGCCGCCTTGAGCGTCATGGGCAGGATGGAGGCGCTCGCCAGCTGCATGGCGTACATGCACGCGTCCTCGTCCTCCTCGGGGGTCAGCTGCAGCGCGTTCTTGAGGGATCCCATTGCCGCAACGACTGACCGAGAGAGAGAGAGAGAGAGAGAGAGGAGGGTAGGG